AAAACATGGGGAAACCCCCCAAATGTTCTCCTGAATGAAAATTACACCTGAGGAACATATACTACATTTCAAGAACAAGAAAAGCTAGTTGAGAATGACACGAATGCAGAGAGGGTTACAGCCACCAGGACTGCGGAATGAACACACACGGGAGGCTGCCAGAACTTCAAGGACCCAACACGATCCCAGGTCCATCTGTGGGTTCGTACACATGGAACTAGTACGTTGTATACACTTACACCCCAACCTTTCAAATCAGGAAAAAAATCTACTTTTCAAGTCTTCCAAACTCCTGTCAATTAGACACTGTCAATTAGAAGCCCCGTGGGATCATAGTACCTCCCTCGTGTGTATTTTTAAACCTTCCTTCCACAGCTAGAAGGTCACAGTCACTTTAGCTTCCTGGTGTTTTCCAGGGTGCACGCTCGGCCCTCAGCACACACACTGGGGTCACCCTCACATGCCTGACAGTTATTACACATTATCCCCACTGTGTGCCAAAGCAAAAAAAGCTAGAAGGGCTGTGTGACCCACCTGAAGCCCAAGAGAATACAGAACAGAGCCCGCATTTGAAGGCAAGCCTGTAACTCTGAAACCAAAGGCTTCCTCAAATCTTAACTGTGAAGTCCCACCCAGTCAGTCCCACACTTGCCCTCTGACAGGCTCCAAACCCACTCAGATCTTCCCTCTGACACCACACCATCCCCAGCTCTTCCCTGCCAAACGGAAAGCCCCACGGAGCAGTTCTCTCCTCACTTTCTGATGAAGAAAAGGAACTGATAGTAAAGAAGCCCTGGCCCAGTGGCTGGCCTCTAACATGGACCTGGACATGCCCTTGTCACCAGCTCACCTACACTGGGTTATCTGCTGCACAAAACTGTAACGGGTCACCTTTCATTTTCTTTTACTCTATTTCACTGGGGAAGGAATCTTCTCCAGCATAGAACACACTGGCTCTGGGCCTTCCCATGGTAAAAGCCCAGGGAAATAACCAGAGTCCCTCCATTCCGTAGGCCTGACTTGTGTGAGAAAGGTGCCCTGTCCAGGTAAGAGTCCCGTAACTTCAGGACACAGACGTCCTATCAGGGTCCTCCTATGCAGCCTGAAGATTCACCAAGTTTAGAAATCAGAAAGGGACAGTCACTCTGGAGCTGTGCTGTTAGATTCTCAAACCTTCTCCCTCTGCTGTTATCACCCAGCCAAGATTTACAGAAACAGCCCCTATTTCTTTCTGTCTAAGGAGATGCATAACCTTGTCACATCCTCATACGTGACTTCAAGTTAGAGTTCAAGGCCACTGAGCCAAAAACAGAGCCAGGTGTGGCAGTACACACCTGTACTCCCAGAACTTAGGAAGATGAAGCACGAAGATCACCACGAGTTCAAAGCCGGCCTAAGACAACAACAACAAAAAAAGCAAAAACAAAAACAAAAGGGAGATTGACCATGAAGTTAGTGAGGTTAAACTTCAGGGTCCAAACCTGCCAGGGTCCTTGACACAGTCTGGTCCCTAATTTTGCATAGAGCATTCCGTACTTTATTTTTTCATTCCATATTTCTTATAAAGGGGCCTCCAAATTAGAGAAGCTTTGTACTCTAAATCACATGTGTTTGTGTTAATACAAACCATGGATCCAAGTTCAACTATCCACCTTACAAATACAAGTTATTTAGAAAAAGAAATTAAGAGAGCTATCTTATCAGTAACTACCAGAATAGAGACGTCATGCATGCACATTAAAATCTTTCTGCTTAATTTCACTTATTATGAATAAATTTTTATCTATTTTATGGTCACATGAGCAATATACTAAGTGGGCTGGGGATATAATATAGTGGTGGAGCAGCTGCCCAGCAAGCCTAAGGCCTGGGAGTTCAATTCCCAGCACGGTCAAGGGGCAGGGCAGCTGGTGTTCCTTTAAGATTTCAGAGCTCTCTCATCTTGGAAGTGTGAAGATGGAAGGGGATAGCAAATAGACAACGCAGATACAATAGGAAATGTAAATTTTACCACATACAAGTTTTCATGTAGCAGTTACTCTACTTTAGAAGAACTCAGGCTGGGGACTTAGCTCAGCAGTTCCTGAGCTAAGGACTAGGACTTTGTAAGCGCCTACCTGGCAAGCTCAAGGTTACAAGTTTGATCCCCAATACCAAAAAAAAGAACTCAATTATAGTCAATCCCTTTAAATAGGTCCATTAAAGGATTACCACAACCTTTTACATCTATGAAATGTGTTCAAAACACAAGCAAGCCCTCGGTTTTCCTAAGTGCTGCTCAGTCATGATGGTTCAGTCATGACTGTCTGTTTTTAAAGAAAGTATGGGAGATGGATGTGGTGGTGCACACAGGTGATCCTAGCACTCAGGAGGCGAAGGCAGAAGGATCACCACAAATCTGAAGTCATGCTGGGCTACCAGGAGCTCAAGGCCAACCTGAACTGCATAGCAACACCCTGTCTCAAAACAAGAACAGAAAAGAAGCAAGGCTTCATTATAGTTACAAAACTGCTTGTGATCCCCCCAGTAATGTTGGTCTGATTGCATAATTCAGAGTTACACCAACTTTTTTAACATGAAACAGTATAAAACTTAAAACACTTTTTAATCCAATGAAGAAAGATAAAGTGGATAGGAAAGAAAGCTCATATACAATACAAAATAAAAATGTATAAAGAAAAAAAAATTGTATCCTAAGAAACAACTGCACAACATCCTATGCAAGTAAGTTTAATCAAAATATGGGCAAATGCATAACTTTCTACTAAAAATCAAACTCTACTAGTCAAGAAATGAACACTCCAAGCCAGGTGTGGTGGTGGCGTGAGTGTAACCCCAGTACTTGGGAGGCTGAGACAGGAGGATCGCTGTGAATCAACGCCAGCCGGGCTACATAGTGAGTTCAAGGCCAACCTGAACTACAGTGAGACCCTGTATCAAAAACTAAAACTAGATGAGTGTGGTGGTGCATACCTATAATCCTAGCACTCAGGAGGCTGAGGCAGGAGGATCCTTGCAAATTCGAAACCAGCCTGGGCTACAAAGTGAGTTCAAGGTCAGCCTAAACTGCATAGCAAAACCTTGTCTCAAAAACACAAAAATACATAAATCTATTAAAACATGAATAAATGGTAGGATAAGGTGCTTGTCACCCAGCACTTGGGAGGTTGAGGCCAGGCTGGCTTTACCGTGAGATCCTGTCTCAAAATAAACAAATGAAAAACAAAAACCCCACCTCAGTAATTAAGACAATATCCCAGTACATCAAAAGACATGTTACTAAGAATTATTTCAAGTAAATCATGTAGAGATAGACTTTTTAATAGAATGTTGAGAAAACTAGATACCCATCTGGTCAAATATATCAGAACAAATGAATCAAAAATGGGCCAGGGGTTAAGCTCAGCGGCATAAGTGCCTGCCCAACAAGCGCATAGTCATGAGTTCAATCCCCGGTACCAAAAAAAAATAAAAATTTTTTCTAAGTAGTAAAATGGAAAGGTCCATAGGACCTAAGTGAAAAACACAAGACTCAGCAAGTTGAAAAAGTGCAAACCATTTAGATAACAGCATGCTTGTAATACCATCTAAACACCTAAACACCAACATGGCAAGGTAGTCAGTATCAGAGCGGAAGCCTTTTAAGTTCCTGTGATTTCTTTTTTTTTTTTTTTTTTTTTTTGGTCTTTTTCCTGTTTATCAGTACCAGGGATCGAACTCACGACTGCCTGCTTGCAAGGCAGGCGTTTATGCCACTGAGCTAAATCCCCAGCCCCGTTCCTGTGATTTCTAAACCAAGTAAACTTATTATTTCTGCATAATACAAAAATGTCTAAATGAATGTGAAACCTGATTTAAAGTATCCCCACAAGAAGCTACACAAACTCATTCTTTGCAGGTCCTGTTGCAGGTTCTCCCAGAATCACACAGCTTGGAGGCTCAGTGCGTGCTCAGAATTGCAGAGATCCCACAAAACCAATCAATCAAATCAATCAATCGATTTCAACTGTCACCATCTGCAAATAACTCCCAACTGTTTACCTACAGTCCCAACTTCCTTCCCAAAGCTCCCACTTTTATCTTGCTGCTAGAAAATCCACCTCCCTCTCCACCACCCCCAGCTCAGGTTCCAGCACGCAACCTGTGTCTGCCATTCCTTCTCCTGCCACCTCCTCACCCTTCTCCTGTCTAATCTCACTTGATAAAACTGCCAGATTCCTCCTTGCAAACATCTAAGGCCTTAGCTGTGTAGCCTGGCATTCTTTCAAAGCCTCAAAGAATACAGTGGGAGTTTGGCTTTGGGTTTTTTCAGAAATGCTGGGGATTGAACTGATGGCCTCACCCAAGCTAGGGAAGTGCTGAGCTAGGCCCGGAATATTCGCGCTCAGCTCCTGCAGCCTGATCCTCTTCCCTTGGTTTAAGGCTAGCCTCAAATTAGTCACTTATGGTACTAGTAGCCTTCCACCTCTTCCTAAAACCAGTCTGTTTTTCCTGTCAGTAGAACTTCATTCTTCCCTTGTTTTTCTAGAGTTTAGGAACCACTAGCTCCACTCATTATATAATGGAGGGGTTGTTTTAACTGATTATGAGCAAAGACCAAAACAAGACTGACCAAGTTCCACCGTACTTAGGAAGAACCACTTTACTTTGTAAAATTAAATCTGGCTCAATCAGATGGTATAAAGGGTCAGTCTGTCCTATGAGGGTAAATGTACCCCTCCTCTTTTTTTTTTTTTTTTTTTTTTTTTGTCCAAAAGGGGAAAATAAAAAAACAAGACTTTTTCCTTGTAGATTACAAAAATGCCTGTTTATCTCCTTCTTTCACAAAAGCCCTGCTACCCGGACTTCTCTGTCAGTTGGCCATCCTGCCAAGTTCAGGGCACTGGAAGCTTTTGCAAGACCTGGCACACACAGACACTGAGGGTCGCCTGTGCTGGCCACACTGGACACAAACACACAGATCTGAACATGAACCAATGAAAATAAGGAAGTTAACTTACTGGAGCAGACTTGTGACCACAATGTAGCAGAAAGAGGAACCAACAGATACCAACCTAGAAGCAGAAAAGCATACCAATCTGGAAAAAAGGACTTTCACCATTTTGTGTGTCCTACCAAGTAGGTGGGCACTGTAGTTACACAGAGCCAAGACTGTTTAGTCTTCACTCGTTTATAAGATGAAGGTTTCTTTTAATGTCGATGAATTCATTATCAATTTTCCTTCCTTTAAACCAAAGGAGCCTGGGGATGCAGCTCAAGCTTAGCACGCACAAGGCCTTGAGTTCCATCCCTAGCATCACACACACAGGCACCAAGAAAGTGTCACAGGCTGTAACGGGATACCACAACTCTCCATGTCACTGTTTTCGCTAACGATCTGAACGAGAGCATCATTTGTTATGAATACAGCTGTCTCCAAAACGGAGCTGCTGTTTTCTGCATCCGGGGCATTTGCCCAGTACCTGAACACGTCAAGGTGTCCTACCCTCAGACTGTGCGGTCGTTTCCAACCTCCTCCCACCACGGTCCACTCCTACTGCGCAGGTGAAATGAGCAGGTACCACCACCCAGTGTCGGCACCAGAGAACACGGTGACCAGTTCCTCTCAGTCCCCGAGAGAAACACTGATGCTGACAAAAGGTGAAGGGCAGGCCGTACTCCTATGTCCTCTTGGGTCTTGTTCACCAAAGGTCCCCGGAAATTACAGCAGACAGAGGGCTCTGCTCCCTGAGGGACGTTTTGTAATCTAAATAGCCCGCCTGGGTAATCAAAGCTCTTCTTTAGCCAGTCCAAGCTTCAGAGGACCCAGAGCTTTGAAAAAGAGAAGCTGAAAAATCAGGTGTGTGACCAAGAGAGACAAGTGAAGGCAACATGCAGCACAGCTCCCATCACACTGCTCTGAGATTGCACACAGGGAGAGGGGACGGTCCCACCAGGGTCTGTCCACACCAGGATATCCTAACACTGTTATGAATACAGCTGTCTCCAATGCAGCTTGTTTCTCCCCACTCCAACCCAAGAAAAAATTTCTCTCTAGCACAAGTCCAGGGGGCTCTATCTCATTTCCAAGCCCAGCAGTCTTCTCCAGTCCCGAGCCACTATGTCCTTCATCCCCAACCTTCATGCACACAGTATGCTTTGACACTCTGTCCCCTTACTTGGTTTGTTTGAGAACTTATCCTGTCCCAAGAGTTGTAGGAAGAAAGGGAGAAGTGAGAAAGGTCAGCTTCAAAGGCTCTTCAAAAAAGGAAAAAAGCCAACAACAATGGAAGAGCTGTTCCTTGCTAGCAGAATAGAAGGACTAAAAGCTGGATGTGGTGCGCCTGCCTGTAATCCCTGCACTCGGGAGGCTGAAGCAGAAGGACTGCCAAGAGTTTAAGGCCAGCCTGGGATACATAGTGAGTTCTGGTCCAACTTGAACTGCATAGCAAGACCTTGTCAAAACAAGAAAAGGAAAGGAAAGGAAAGGGTAAAGCCTGAAGAGCATCCTTGCTTCCTTCACCTATAGAACAAGTCATAGGCAGATGTGCCCACTGTTATAGGAATAAACCCAGCCCAAGGACCACTGTGAGTTCAAGGCCAGCCTGGGATACATAGCTCAAGGCCAGTGTTAACTACAAAGTGAATCCTGACTTAAAAAACAAAAACATAAAAGGAATCAGGGTTTACTTCTATTCATGGTTTCAGAGGACTCGCAGTAGAAGGACGTGGTGGTAGAGAGCAAGGCTGTCATTCATGGCAGCCCCAAACAAGGAGCCAAGAATCACTCACAGCCCCCAAGCCCTCGATCGTGACACACTGAGAAGTGTTCCCTTGGCAGCTCAAAGCCACTCCAACTGACACTCCAGCTTAATCAAAATGCCCAACCTCCATAAAAAGCAGCATACAACCTTAGCACACAGAAGAGACTCGGGAAACTTCAAATGGCTCAGCCCTGTGTGGCTGACCTGCTGGCTATGTAATGCAATATTTGTTCTGGTGACCAGAGAGCTGTTTGACTGCCTCTGCCTAGAACACTGTGGCCAGCCTTCCTCTGCTATGTAAACAAGCCTGGTTTTTCTATTCTGTTTTCAAAGCAGCGTCTTTGGGTAAATGATCCAGAATAAGTTCCTCCCTGTAATCACTCATTCATAAAAAACAGCAGAGGTGCCTTAAATTCTTTTTTCTTTTGCACACTGGGAACTGAACTCAGGGCCTTAGGCCTGCCAAACATTACCATAATGCTACAGACCCCAGGATTAAGTCTTGTTTTTTAGTTTTAAAACCCTGAATAATTTAAAAGCAGTCAATCAGCTACACAGTACTTTCAATTATGTCAACTTCAGGTACACCTCAAACAGTGGAAACAGATGTAGGCCAAAACTCAATTCCTCAGCAGGCTCCTCCCCTTTGAACAGAGATGTGTGACACATAGGGTGTAAGCCACTCACTCAGCCTAGCACCTGGCGCGTGGGAAGCCAGCTCTGAGTCAGCTGCATGGTGTGGGGACCTCTGCGACCACACCTCCGTTCAGGGACAAAGACTTCATTGACCAGTGAGGTCTGCCAGGGTGGCCAGTGGATTTGCTGGCTGTTACCTGGGATTAGAGTGGAATCAAAGCTTTCCCGAGATGGCAGTGCCTTCCACATTCTCATGTCCACTGGCTCACGTACCCTTAACAGCACAGCCTGCCCCCTCTGCCTACGACAGCGCTCTGCCGAGCCCAAACATGGGCCTCAGCTAATCAGGTACCAGGTTCAGTGAGAAAAGACCACGAAAACAGAAAAGCGTGTGTATTTCCAGTAGGGCCAAGCAAGCAGGACAGCAGCCCTCGCCCTTCCCAGCAAGGCGCTGCCGCACTCCAGCTCAATACCATGCTGGCGCAAGGGCTTTCCCGCGCTGTGGCGTCCTCGGAGGTTTCTTCCAGGTTCTTGTCGTCAAGACACATGTAAAGGCAATGAGGTTCTGCATTTATTAAAGGTAGAGAAAGAAGTGTACGCGCTGCTGAGCAAGAGTGGACCACTGAGAAACTACAGCGGCCAGGAAGCCTACTGCTGCCATCCTTTGTGCGCCCACCCACACATGCTGACGTCACATCTAGGCCGTCCTGTCAAAAACCTGCTTGATCCGATGCCAGAACTGAAGATAGAACTTTCTGACTGGCCCCAAGTGCAGGGCTTGGGCACAGCAACTGCGCTTGTGGTGACTGACAGGTCATGCCCACTTGCCCACCCTACTCTCCTGCCTCTTGGAGACTTAGCAAAGCTTGGGCCCAAGGGGCTGGTAACCTTGAACCATAATGTTCTCAGGCCTGGGGGTGGCTGCTGACCCTCTAAGCAGGAGCAAGCCTAGAGAAACTGCCTTAAAAAGGAAAATCCTAGTTTTCAGTAGTCCACTTTGTGACTGGATTGGAGAGGGCCCTCCACCCCTCCACTCTAGGAGGTCGAGGGGGGAGGCAGGTGGCTTGGGTCAAGCAGACCCTTGGTCTTGGACTTCTAGCCTTCAGATGCCCCAAAAATGTTTCAGAAGCACACGAGCTATCCAGGCTACGGTGCTGTGATATAGCAGCCCAAAGAGACCAAAAAAATACCAAGTTTGAAGTCCTAGAGATTTACTTCGTTCTCCTGAAAAGAGCACATGAGAAAATTGACTCCCTTTTTGGTTCTCACGTAATCCTTTTCCACGGAAAGCAGAAAACAATCAGTCCTGATGGTAACATGGGAACATTTTTAACTCCCAATATAAATATTAATCTTGGAATCAACTTCATTTTGAAGTATAAATGGGAGTGGGAGGTTGCGGGTACTGTAATCAACCGTCAGTGAACACCCCAGAGCGACCAGCAGGCCTCACTCAGGCTAATGGGCAGACTTCCATTCAAACAGCAAACATCTTACAGCTCGCTCATTACACTGTTGACTGCTGAGAGTCCACATTAACTCTGTTGATTTGAACATAACTAATTTGATTCAATGAGAAATTCTGTAACACAGGGTTCCTAAAATTCCATTGTCAAATGAGTCATCAAAAATATCAGCCTCATGTTTGACATTTATGTACAGTTTCTAATTATAATGCTAAATATTCTCCTAACTAATGGGGAGGTGTTGTTTTCAACTATACCCTTAACATAACACAGAACACTTCTGTGGCCCCAGATGTGAAGAGTTTCCCCCAGAGTTCGATCCCTGGTACCGATAAAAATGAAAAAGACAAAAAAAAAAACAAAAAAAAAACAGCTTATATAGGTAAAAACAGAGAGGGAACTGGCCCCTGAGGGAATCAGTGAAATTTGCAGCTGGAGGTGAGTTTAAAGGAATCCAGGCCTCAAGATGCAAGTCCACGGGAGATAAACAACAGCTTGAGGTTATATTGTAGTTGCTGCCACCTTGTCCAGTGGGCCCAGATAATGCATAGACAGGTGCCTCCCGTCTTTCCAGGAATGCCTCTGTTCTTTCTACATAAGTTATGGAAAACCTGAAGTTAAGGGCATTCCCGTATACCCTTGCTCTGTGCCCTGCTTCCCTGCTGCGGCAATATTAGCCAAGAGCCAGGAAAGGGTAAGGTACAGTAACCACGCCGACACTGTGCAATGAGGTTCCACTTGTAGAACAATCCCCACAACCATCTGTGGAGAAAGAGCAGGCATTGACCAGAAGGGAGGGAAGATGACGGCCCAGGGTAGGGAGTGAAGCAAGAGGGGAAGACAAGATAGGCAGAAAGAAGAGGAAGACAGACTTTTAGGCTGCACTTGTAATACAAACTACAGATTCAAGACACACACACACACACACACATACACACACAAAACTTGTAAGGTCCTTAAAGATACAGTAAGTTCAGGCCATTGATTCCTTTCTACTGTAAAGGGACCCTGGAAATCAGTGTGCAGATTCCTCAAAAACACTAGGACTAGAGGTCCCATTCAATCCAGCTATTCCTCTTCTGATTGTTTTCCCAAAAAAAGGATTTGAAAAAAAAAATTTTTTTTAAATTCTGCCAATAAACATTCTGATGCCCCTTAAGGATGCCTCATGAAAATTGTTTTTCTGTGCTGGAAGTCAATGGGCCAGCA